CTAACTCAAAGCATTATTTTAAGATATTTACCTTCAGCCAAAATTTGCTTTGTTTGGAAAGATTCACAGGTTATCTAACTGAAAAGAGGGATGGAATAAATATTTCCAGCATGGGAAACTTAAAGTCATTTAGCAGCTTAAATTCATTAGGCTACAGTTTAGTAGTAGTAAATAAATTAATGGTTTAAAATTTTTCTAAATGTCTAGTGAAACTTTCTTTTGTCTTAACTCTAATCTCAAAATCCCTGAAGCATTCCTTTTGTTGTAGTCACTTTGTTATTGACTCTCCAAATGACCTAGGGGAAGTAATTTCCCAAAAGTTGATTTTTCTCACCAGGAAAATAAGAGTACCCAGTCCATTAGCTAGTAATCTAACGGTGAGAATTATAAAATGCCTGATTTTATAAGAAAAATGTCTTCCACCTTTCATGCCCACATTTTAATCTACAAATAAATAATTTACCAAATCAGTTGAGAAATTAGTAAAATGAAAGTTGGGAAGATAACCACAATCTGCAGGGGTCAAGTGTGCATGGCCCAGATGGGTGGGTGGAAATTAAAGCTGTATTGCAGTGACGGTACCTGAGCTTCCAAGAATTTGGGTTGGAAAGACAATTACAGATAAAATAAATTGGAGTTAAAAGGAAAACAAAAATAGAAAGGGGACCTTACAAAGCTACCTATGACTTAATGAACTTGGCTTCCATCAACCTTTAAGATTAGAGTTGTTTTTAAAACTGAAATCCAGATCCCCTTGGCTGCATTTTAAGTTTTCCAGAGCTTTTATCACTGCTGTCTGGAAAAGCAAGCAAAAAGGGATGTAAAAAAAAAAATTTTTTTTAAATGGTATCATACAGGAAACCAAAATAAATCAATTTGGCATCTGCTACTTTTAATGTCACAAGAGTAACAATAGAAACTTCATACTCAATAGATAACTTCATACTGATGACAAATATTTTTAGAAAATTAGCCAAATTACCCACTGTAATTAGTTCTCTTGCAAGGTTAAATAATATAAAATTAAAAATTACTGAGCAATTAAACTACAATTATACCAATTCCGAGTTCCTGAATAAACAAACTGCATGTATACTTGGCAAGGAAAACCAGGATGAGAACAGGAGCAATGAGTGAAATGGACTACCAGAAATCACATTTCTTTTTCAGGGGTGGGGCGAATAGAGGACTAGACTTGCTATGAACATGAACGAATGCTGTTTATTTCCAAGGTATGGTAAGTATAAATTTGAAATTTCTACTGGGAATTGCTATTATGCATATCCTTTGCACAATACATTACCTGAGGCAAAGTTAATTGCAGAAAATTTCCAAGTAACTCCATGCTCCTTACCAGATTGTACAGTAGAGGTGCGGGGTTGCCAGGCTAAGCATTTTTCTTTTCAGTTGAATGTGCTAATATGATACCTTTCTCATATCAGTTGTTTTGTATTAAATTTTTTTGTTCTTTGAATAAACATTCTCTCAAGAGTTTACAGCAAAAATTAGAGTAATTCAGAATTCACCAATTTTGAATTAACCTTCAATGCCAGAAGCTTTAGCAACTTGTGATAAAAATTCAGTTTAGATCTCAAGATCAGGTAAGTCCGAAAGAAACAAGGTAGGCCTGGCCAGGCAGCCCAGTTAGTTCTGTCCTATGTCTCTCTCCTCTTTCTTTCTAAAATGGATAAAAATAAAGTAGAAGAAACAAGGCAATTTGAACCAGCCCTTTCTACCCGGACTTTGATATAAATTGTATTTATCTGCTTCTAAAACTTCTCATGAAAGAAAAATTAAGTTTAAATAAAATTATAAAATTTTCTTGAGGAATAGTTTGTGTGTGAGCAAAATATCAAAACAATTCTCCCATGCACAATATACTTTGGACTATATTCTAAATATATTTCTTCTGATTTCCTGCACTTACCTGTAATGTTAGTATATCCATGCTTTTGTATCATGGAACATTTAAGGATAATTCACACTCATGTAATACAAAAATTAAAGTTCACTTTGACCAAGAAGGTTTAATTCATGTTACTTATTAAATACTTTGCAAGGTAATACAAGAACATGTTCTAACATTTTACAGACGTGATGAAATCTTAGTCATGTTGGCCTTCTGCTTTTTTTCTTTTTTTAAAATTTATTTTTATTGATTTTAGAGAGGAAGGGAGAAATAGAGATAGAAACACTAATAAGAGAGACACATTCATCAGCTGTCTCCTGCACAACCCCCCCACTGGAGATCAAGCACACAACCTGGGCATGTGCCCTGACTGGGAATCAAACCCAGGATCTTTTATTCCATAGATGACGCTCAATTGACTGAGCTACACCAGCCGGGCTGGCCTTCTGCTTTAAAATGTGTTCTGAACCTCTTACACTTGACATATACTGATGGGAATGTAAAATGGTAAAACCACTTTGGAAAACAATATGTCAGTACCTCAAAAGATTTAACAGTTACAGAAATTCCATCCAGTAATTTTGCCTGCAGGTAAAACACCCAAGAGAAATGAAAACATATGTCCACATTGAAATTTGTGCACAAATATTCCTAACAACCAAAAAGTAAAAGCAACCCAAATGTCCGTCATCTGACAAATAGATAAAAATATGATATTCCTTGAAAAGGAATGAAGTACTAATACCTGTTACAACAAAGATGAATCATGAAGAGATGATATGAAATGGGGGAAGGGGAGCTGGTCACAAAAGACCACATATAATTCTATTTATAAGGAATGCTCAGGACAGGCAAATCTAGAGAGACAATAAGTAGATCAGTTGTTGCTAGACCTAGGAGGATAAAGGGGTAATAGTTAAGAGTAACGGGTTTCTTTTTGAGGTGATAAAAATGTTTTATAATGAGAATGTAGTAATAACTGCAAATATACTAAACCTATCAAATCACACATTATAAATGGGTGAATTTTATGTATGTAAATTATAATTCAATAAGGCTGTTATTATAAAAATAATCAGTTCTGAGATGTGAGGTGCTTGAGAATTAGCAAACCTCTTCCACAAAGGTTATCAGGTTAATAGTGAAAGAATTAGTAAAATTAACGTCCATTTACTTTATTATGAATGGAACCAGCTTACAGTATTTTGTTATGTACATTTCTAAAATGTGAATGCAGTTTAAGAAAAGACATCATTACATCAGATATTCCAGGCAGCCTGCCATGAGACATTTTTACAAAAAAAAAAATTTTTTTTTAAATCTTAAAAGGAATCCATTTATCAACCTTATATGTTCTTTCTTGTCACTTCTTTTCTGTATAAGCTGTAATTTCCTAAAAAATCTTGTTAAACAGTACTGGGCACTATTTTAGACGTGTGTATACATGTGTGCACATAAAATCCCTGCTCCCTCGGAGCTTACAATCTAATAGAGCAAAATAGCCAATAAACAAATGCTGGTTTGAAAGACAGATTTTTAAAACCAAGCGCTGTGCTATGGATGGCTATTATTTTAGATGGAGTGGCTAGGGAAAAAGGCTTCTCTAAGAAGTAATGTTTGAGGTGAGAAAAGTATTATACCAGTCACACAAAGATTAGAGAAGAACTCTAGGCAGAACAGATAATTCTTTAAAAAAAAAATATTTTTATTGATTTCAGAGAGGAAGAGAGAGGGAGAGAGAAAAACATTAATGATGAGGGAGAATCATTGATCTGCTGCTTCCTGCATGCTCCACAATGAGGATTGAGCCCGCAATCCAGGCATATGCCTTGGACCAGAATCAAACCCAGAACCCTTCAGTCCGCAGGCTGACGGTTTATCCACTGAGCCAAACTGGCTAGGGCCAGATAATTCTTAAATAGCACAATTAGGAGAAAAAAGGACTAACTGTGCACTGCTGGTAAGCAACTTTCTTCTGTGATTCTCATGTTCCATCCTTGTATAAGTGTGTCTGGCAAGATTCTCACAGATTGTGGCCAGAAAATGTCTTAGATATAATACCTTAAACCTTTAAAAAGTCTCACAACTCTTCAACAAGAGGAGGCCATCCCTTGTTAACCCCAACCTAAAGTGATCTTTCCTCCCTCTTCTTTGCATCTCTCAGCAATTGTTTGTACCACTCATTCTTTCAAATGCATGAGTGTTAGGAGTGCCAGGACTTTAAGACAAATCAGACATACACACCTTAAACAAAAATTAAGGCAGGAAATAATTTAGTAGTTCAAAAGACATAGGCATAACAACAAACACAAAGTAATTGCAGGCCACAAAAAGAGCTATAAGATGTAAGAGTGGCCAGAGGTTACTGCCAGCTTGAGCATCAGGGGAAGCTTTATGGGGTTAGGGCAGGAGAGCAGGGAGAGTCTGTGATGTCTGAGGACTCAGATATGTGGGGGAATAAACATACTAATTTGTTGTATTCCTAATTAACTTTAAATATATTTTAAAATATTTTTAGCTCCCCAATCAAGTTACAAGCTAAGGGAGAGAAGGCCTGATACTCCTTATATTTCTCTGTGATATTTAGAATAGTATTTTGCAATGCTAAATTAGGGAATTCATTGTTGATTCACTGTACATAGATGTCAAGTTCAGCACTAAAGGTAAAGCTAAATTATTATTTGCTTCATTAGCAAGAATTAGGCCTTTGAAACGGATGGTACCCCAAACCTCTTAATACCTCATATCATTTAATGTTTTTCTAAAGAAAAAAAAATTACAGATAAACATGTATACAATGTACTTCTGAATACACACAGATATGCAAACATTTTAATATGAATCTCTATGTCTGCATATGTATATCACTATACCTTAATTTCAGAATCATACAAGATTACTTTAAACTTCTGCTAACCCAAAGTTTGAACATGAGAAAAATTTTTCTCACTGATCAAAACTCTCCCATCCAGGACTTCAAAATCCCTTCCCATTCCCAACAAAGCATCTTAAATCAGAGAGGAAAAGCCAAACAACATTTTTTTAAGGCAGTGTCTCAACATCTCTAAAAATATTCCATGGCCAAACTCACCATAGAGAGCTGTCCAAGTTTGATTAATTACATCTAGACACACAGTTCCTGACCTGAAACAGATGGAAAGAATGGCATTTTTTTAAAAATTAGAAAGTTAGTTGCATGTATCTGGCAACTAATTTTATTTATCAAGAAAAATACTTTTAATAGATCATTAAAAAAAAAAATCCCAATTGGGGAAAGTATGAAGAAAGTCAGAATAAATACAGAGTGGGGCAAAAGTAGGTTTAGAGTTGTGAGTATGCAAAACAGAGTTTATTCTTGTATTATTATTTACTGATTATTGTATTATTTTCCATACAAACAACTATAAATCTATTTTGTCCCACCCTGTATTCAAAGTCTTAAGTGTCTCTGTACAGATTGAAAGGGAAAAACAATAGCTATACCATGGAGAAACCAACACCTGAGCCGGTGATATGAATTAACACTGGTAACCAGGGGCAGACAGACCTATATGCCTCTGAACAGGATACCCTGAGGAGGACACAATCTCACTTTGTGGTTTTCTGGCCTTAAGTGCATACTCTGAATGTAACAGTAAGAAGATGTCAAACAAACCCAAATTGAGGTATAGTTGTCTTATAAAATAACTGGTCTATATTCTTTAATAATGTCAATTTTATAAAAAGCTGAGGAACTGTTCCAGATTAAAGTAGTATAAAGAAACATGACAACTAAATGTAATACATGAGCTTAGACTGGATCCCTTACTGAATGGGGGGAAAAAAAAAAGGAAACAAAAGCTCTAAAAAGTACATTGTGAGAATAGGGCAATAGATTAAAAGTACTGCTACATTAATATTCAATTCCTGAGTCAGAGGACTATATTGCACGTACATAAGAAACTATCCTTGTTAAGATGAGTGATACATAGAAGTATTAAAGGACAATGGGGCATGATGCATGGATACAACCTACTCACAGAGTGTTCAGAATACCCCACATGTATGTGTATGTATGTATGTGCACAAAATATCGAAATTCAGTGCCATGACAGGGAAAAAATGCAGAATAAATAATTATGTATTCTAAACATCACTGAAGTAACAAAATAGGAGGCACGGGTATCAAATTTAAAATATCACTTATATTAGAAGAAAATAAAGGGGTAATTAAGATTCAATCACTGAAATGAAACTAGTCATGTCTGCTTTACTCTCATGAACTGAGAAATACTTGAAAGGGGTGAAAATAATAAATCTGTATATTAAAAACAGATCTTTGAATTGTGTCTAACAGAGATTGGAGATGTGGAACATTCATGACAATGGAAAAACTAAGCAGTCCAATAGAATTTGAACTAAGTGGTTTAGAATATCATATCCCTGGGACTGTATAGTCTAAGTGACCATTCAGATAGTCCTATCTGCTGATAAAATCCAAAAAGATAATTGAAGCTTCTGTATAACGAAGAGAGAGATGAACTCTAATCAAGAGCAGTTGCTGCTAAGATTTAAACATTTTTAAAATTACTTACGCTTCATCAATGTTGGGATGGAAAATTTTATTCATGAATCCTGTAAAAAGAGATGTTAATTAGCAGCAAAAAGTACCCAGAGAACAATTAAAGTATTTCTGTATCAGAAACATTTTCAGATTGGGAAAAGGTAATGATACTCAGAACTCATTACCTTTCAATCTTAGATCTTTGAATATGATAAGACTATCTTCTCCTTACAATAGCATTTACTTAAAATACACGAGAGTTCTATTTTTAAAATGCGCAAACTCTGAGAGCAATGCAGCCTCTTACACAAAATGATCATTAAAAGAAACTGTTTTCAGAGTTATGAAGTTACTTGCCAAGAAAATTGATAGTCTTAAATGGTTTATAACTAGTGTCCTGATAAAAGTTAAGAAAGCTACTCTGACTTCCCTCCCCCAAGTTTTATTGTTTAATCTCTAAATTAGGAGGTTCTGCATTTGAACACTTTCAAAAGCTGTTACTGGTATCGCTCTGCTACACAGTGTGCGGAACATGAATGAAACTGTTGAAATGCTAAAGGAGTGCCGCTTCCAAACCACAAAGGATTTCATAAGATCGGTGACCAAAATGTTTCCTTTAACTTTAGTCTACTCATTCCAGGAAACCCAATTTTGATTAAAATTGGGGCAACCAAGGAATGAGGCAAGGAGTTAAAAAAAAATTCTGTAAGATAGCTAGATTTGTCAGGGATCCAAATTTTCTTTTCTTTCTTTCTATTTTTTTAATTTATGCCTAGAAAAACAAGTATGGACTTTAACAAATATATTGATATTTCAATTTCAAGAAGAAATGAATTTTTGTAATGTAAAACTGGTGATTTAATCAGCCTGTATATATGTAGATGGCAATATTCTAAAACAGATCCACTGTCAAAGCTGTCATTTTACCAACCTTATCACTTCATTTCCTTTTAAAACTTCCTATTCCATTTCACTTTCAAAAAATTGAAATTCCTTACTAAAGTGACCATCTCCATTTCCTACTCCCGCTCTCTCATACCCCCTCACATGGTCTCACTTTCCTTTATTCAAAATATATTTGGTCAATGCCTATGTTTCATGCACTGTGGTTGTGTTGGGTACAAAATAAGTAAGACTACACTATTCTCAAGGAGGTGGCTGTAGCAGCGGAATAAGAGACATGAAGAAATAGCAGTAATGTGTGCACAGAGCCGATACAGTGAGGGAAGAGGAAGCTGTCAGAAAAGATGCAGAGAAGTGGCATCAGAGGAAAACCCTCAAGGATGAGTCATGATAGAGGATATCTCAGAAAAATCTAAGAAACTTCTTTAGACTTAGAAAAGGGGGATACTACACAAAATCCCAGGTATGCCAGTCTTTGCTTGCTCTAGCCACTACAAGTATTAATCATGCTTCTAATTTTTTTAACCCTTTGTGTTGAAATAGCTTAATGTTTTATCTCCTACTATTAAGAGAACTCATGCAATGTTTAAATTACTCTGATGTAGGAAAAAAAAGCCTTATGTCCATTTACAATTTCATATTAATTTTTCATTATGGAAATGAAAGAGGTTTCAAAGTCTAGATTTAAGAGTTATGTGCTTATGAAGAGATTATATTATAGCCAATGGAAATGCTCATGTTTTAATGGTAAGAGGAGAAAAAGCAGGATACAAATCTACATGACCCTAGAAAAATACTAATATATGTGTTCAAGAAGACCTATGAAGATTATTCGTTGCAGCATCCTACTTAATAAAAGAGTAATATGCAAATTAACCATAACTCTGCTCAAGCCACGCCCAACAGCTACACCCACCAACCAATCAGAGCGAGTATGCAAATTAACCCCAACCAAAATGGCTGCAGCCACAGAGAGCAGTTGAGAGGCTAGGGTTGCCCCCGGCAACGGAGGAAGCAAAGCTTTCCACCTGCCCTGGCTGGCCTAGGCCTCCACTCAAGAATACAAAGTTTTAATTATAGAAGATACATAAAACCAAACAGAAATGGTGGCAGCCAGAGTGAGCAGAGGGCTTGGCTCTGCTTGAGGCTACAAAGTTTCAACTGTAGAAGGTAAATAAATTCCAGATACCAGGCCCTCCACTTGGGTTGCCGGAGGGCGTGGCAGGCCTGCAAACCACCACAGGCCCCTTGCCCAGGCCGCCCCATGCCCCAAGGGAACCCTCACCCTGATCCAGGACACCTTTCAGGGCAAACCAGCTGGCCCCCACCCATGCACCAGGCCTCTATCCTATCTAATAAAAGAGTAATATGCAGATTGACCATCACTCCAACACACAAGAGGCTGCCCCCATGTGGTCAAAGATCCTGCCCCCATGTAGACACAAGATGGCCACCACAAGATGGCCAGCAGGGGAGGGCAGTTGGAAGGCACCAGGTCTGCAAGGGAGGGCAGTTGAGAAGGACCAGGTCTGCAAGGGAGGGCAGTTAGAGGCAGTCAAGCCTGCAGGGGAGGGCAGTTAGGGGTGGCCAGGCCGGCAGAGGAGGGAAGTTAGGGGCAAACAGGCTGGCAGGGGAGCAGTTAGACATCAATCAAGCTGGCATGGGAGTGGTTAAGGGGTGACCAGGCTGGCAGGCAAAAGTGGTTAGGGGCAATCAGAAAGGCAGGCAGGCAAGCAGTTGGGAGCCAGCAGTCCTGGATTGTGAGAGGGATGTCCGACTGCCCATTTAGGGCAGTTTAACATCCCTAGAGGGGTCCCAGATTGGAGAGGGTGCAGGCTGGGCTGAGGGACACCCCCCCACCCAGTGCACAAATTTCATGCAGCGGGCCTCTAGTTATTTATAAAAGCTAAGAAACAAATGTAATCCCATCAAAAGGAATTTTAGAAACTGTAGTATATTCATAGACTGGGAGTCCTATACAGCCAAGGTAATGAGCTAAATCAGTAAGTACCAACTTGGATAGATCCAAACCTGAAAGGGAAAATAGTTGCAGAATGATATATTTATAGCATAACACCGTTTAAAGAAACTAAAACAAAGCAATGCTACATATTCTCTCTCTATGGTAACAAGTATGGAAACAGTACTGGACCAATATATATAATTTAAAAATTAAACTAAATAAAAAAAAGAAGGCAACTCAGAATAGGAATGCTGGGTGGGGACTGCTATTTTGAATAGGACGGTCAGGGAGGGCCTTACGGAGAAGCTGACTTAATTTGATGGAGGTGAGGGAGGCTCATTCATTATCTAGGAGGAAGAGTGTTCACACAGCACCAATAGCCAAGTGCAAAGTGCACCAGGAGTTTGCCTGGGTGTTAGGAGACCAGCAAAGGAAGTAAGTAGTAAAACTAAAGTGGAGTGAATAAAGGATAAAAGACCAGTCATGAGATCAGAGAGGTGATGCGTATTTGTGGGCCCTTTTAAGGATGCTGGTTTTCACTGAGTAAGGTGGGAAGCCTGCTGGGTAAAGAATGATGGGGAATGGCAGATCCCAAGATTGAATGAAACTTCAACAACTTATGTCACAGGAAACTTCAAAAGTATACGTCAAGAACACAGCTATGGTGAAAGACCTCTATGTGCTTATCAAAAACGGTCTCTGAAAGGTTAAGGTGCCTCCCTCCTTGTACAAGACCTGGAAATTACATTTGGAATCAATACAGTTTCCACATTGTTTTCAATTAAATCTAGATTTTTTGACTTGGTTGAGTCCAAGAGAACATAACAGAGAGGGCCAAAAAGAACTTAGTAAACATATTCTTAAGTAATAACTGGTCGTTGGAGCCCAGTCCCCTGCGCCCCTACTAAGTATAAAACACTGTTTGAGACAGGTAGAATCAGACTAGAAAGAGAAAAGCACTAACAGAGACTTGGGTCTAGTCCCAACTCTGCTATTAACAGCAAGCCTTGGGCAGGTCACGTCACTTCTGTGGGCCTGTTTCTCTACCTGCAAAGAGAAGTGGCTAGACTATATAATCTCTACAATATCCAATATTATTCTGTTTGTAAAGGGACTCTCAGCTCTAAAAATGTAAGATTTAATAACAATGGCTAGAGTCCTGAATACAGAAAACTTAAGGAGAAATGTCCAGAGATTAAGTCCTTAAAGAAAATTTATTCTATAAGACACATTTTTAGGAACAGAAGTATTCTGGAGAATACAAAGCTACCAACATGCTAAAATACCACCAAGAGACACAAAATCTGCTGACTATTCTAAAGTAGGCAGAACAGGGTTTATTACCTGGCCCCAGAGGAACAAGCACAGCCAGACCAACCAACTCTAACAATTTTCCAGACTACAGTGCTCTCTTCCTATCCAGGGCTTCTCAATTGTTAGAAAAATACCCAAAGCGAATAACTGGAAGTGAGCATATATATCTCTTGCACATTTGTGCTCAGAAAAAGCCATTTACATTCTGGATAATGTGGGCAACAATGGAACTTTTGGACGAGGAAGGGAGCAGATGAGAATGAACCGGCTAGGAATTCAGAGAAGGAACATTCTCAGGGCTGAGCATGTTTGCCCTGGCATGTTCTCTTTCCTTTTGGCAATGCTAACACCACACTAATGAATACATCTGCAACAAGAGAACTTTCCCAACACTTGTTTCCATTCAACCAGGAACTATTTTGAAGATATTTTAAGAGAATATATTTTGAAGACTGCTTTTATGGAAACATGATAAGTGGACACAACAAGTCATTTTAATCTACAAGATTTAAGGTTTTAGTCATTACTAGATATTTTCTAATTATGTATTTCAATGATTTAACAACATAAAATTTAGAACTCCTTTGTTTTAAATCTTTGGACAATTATTCTCTGGCATTGCTCAAGGACTTGTGAAAAAGGGGATAATAAAACAAATGTTTAACTAAAAAGCTCACCACCTCTTTTTTTCTTTTAGCAAAAGAGAATCAGGTGATTTATAATTCTGGTGGGGAAATGCAAATCATGCTTAGTTGATACAAAACTACATATTTAAAAAAATAATTGCATAGATTATTAAAATAGAAAATATTTTGGTTTGTTTCACTCTAACACTCAACTGCTCTAGAATAACAAATCTCTTGGCCCATAGGCTAATAGGCAGAGAAAGTA